TCTACTCAAGATGCCTAGACCTGATGAGTAGACAGCCTGGGTAAAACAATCAGAGACTTAATTTTCAATTAACCAATAAAAAACTGGAGGTGAAGTTGTTGTGGCTCAAGTGGTAGAGGGCCAGCCATGAATAAGAAAGGCTACCTAGCTTCAGACCAGGACTTCAAGCTCCAATAATAGCAAGGGATGGGGTGGGGTAGGGAGGAAGGTGAGAGACTAGAATCAGGAAGAAATATGTCTAAAGTTTAGTTAAGGAGAACATTAAATTCTTGGTCCACTTGATATTTGAGAATTACTCACTTGGGGGAGTTTTTTTTTTTTTTAGAAAAACAAGCATGTATCTTCTTTTTAAAAAACCCTTACAATCATAAAAATGGAATATTTTATAATATGGAGTGTTTTTTATTTTCTAGTGCTAGTATGAAAGTCAGAGACTTGCATATGGTAAGTCAACACGTTATCATTAGCTATATTCCTATCCCAGTGTGAATTTTTAAATAACTTCCTAATATTCACGAGACCAATAAAATACATACTAGAAACAAATAAAATTTTAAATTATTTATTGAACAAAAGCTGAAGAAGCAAAAATGAATACCTTTTGGAAAGTGAGGTTAAAAGGAAAACAATGTCTTATTTCTTAAGAGGTTGACAGTTTAGAGACAACAATGGCAAAAGGTAGGATCAGTAGTTTTATACTGAGAAATATTAAGACCTAGAAAAATGTTGAGAAATACAAAATTAAGTTGTAGTCCTATAAGGGTTATCTAGTTGCTTCAAATTTACTATTTTCCCTTTCTTATGTAACTTGTCCTATATAGTTTCCAACACCCATTTCCAACTTTCTTGAAAGTCTGTAATTTTAATTCAGAGTAAAACATACTTTTATAGTTTAGGTCTAGAGTAGATCATATTTATCTACATTTATTATTACTGTTATCTTGGATACTTTTATATACTTTTAATAATTCAACAACAAAAAAAACTTAACAATTGAGTAACATATTCTGGCATTTCTTTTCCTGAAATAGTCCTAGATCCATTCCTTTAATCTTAGGAGATTTATTTTAACTAATTATTTGCAGTGCTGGGGATTTGAATGCAGGGTGTTGAGCATGCAAGGCAAGCATCTAACACTGAGCTCCATCCCTATTCCTATCTTAAAATCTTAGATGTGGTTGTATAATCACCAGCTTTTCACTACATTGTATCTTTATCCTATAAAAATTTAAAATTATCTTTCTCTTCCATCAAGTTATTATTGTTAACAAAAACATTATTTCCTTATTGCTAACTTGATTTGACTGAGGTTTAATTTTTCTTATAGTTGTCAGGAATTTCCACTTATGATTTCTCTACGTGAACTACCTTCTAGGTCAGTATGTTCATACTTGCCTTCTCAGACAATACCCTCCTGTATACTCCCTGGGATCTTGCTAAAATATAAATTTGGTAATTAGAGAACTTAATAATCATTACTTTGAAAAAGAAGGCATGTGATTATAACTTCAGTCTCTGCTAAACAATCATATGGGATTACCTTTCTGTCTATCTAATGTTTTTGAGAGTTGGTTTATGTACTATGATCTTTGAAATTTAGTCTGTTTTTCTACCATGTGTTCTGAATCTGAGCATATCTTATACCTTTATACTTCACATATAAAATAAGAGAGTAGCTACTCTTATTTTTTTTAGTAGAATCACAAGATCAAAAATTAGATTGAGTTATTAGCTATTATTGAAGGTGTTTGGGTATATGTAGAGCACTGTTGTATTGACATATTTAATTCTTTGTAGGCATTAATCTGTTCATTGAGTCGAGCCTTTGCATTGCTTTCACTGTGAATAAGTAGAGTGATTAACAGTGGTTGTAGTAGCAAGTGGGGCTATTGTGTAGCTAAAAGTGATAGAGCTGGCTTCAATTTAAAGCAGTATTTGTGATGACTGGAGTCTTGGTTTCCTATGGAGTTGTGGTTTCAGTAGTTGAAGAACCAGCAATGGAGACAGACATAACTGGGATTGTGGTGGCAGTATCTGGTACACTGGTACTGGAAGTAGGTGTGTCACCTGTAGCTGAAGGTGTTGTCCCAGTACTTGTTAAGGCGCAGTGGTTGCAGTGGTTGCAATGGGAGTAGTACTAGCCAGAGATATGGTGGTTCTTGCTTCTGAAGTTGTGGAGTCAGAAGACGAGATTGTGGTGCCACTGGATGAAGCTGAGGCATTTTCTGCCGAAGTGGTGACAGCTTCAGAAGTTGTAGAAGTGAGAGTGGTAGTACCGGGTTCACTGGTGGCAGTTGTTGGTATGGTTGTACTGGCAGCGGCGTTGGTAGTTGAGATTCTAGCCGTATCACTTGGTACAACTGTTGTGACACCTGATGATGTTGTGACAGAGCCCAAAGAAACAGAGCTAGAAGGCAAAGATGTGACTGCACTGGCTGACAATAAAGGAGAGCTACTGGTCGAGGCACCAGTCCCTGGGGTTGTGGAAGGTGTGGCCGTTGTGCTTCCAATGAGAGTGGAGGCTGTGACGGTAGCAGTAGTGGCAGCAATGGCAGAAGTTGTGATACTGGTGCTTGCTGAAGCTGTAGAGGGAGCTGGAGCAGTTGTGGTGGAGACAGGTTCTGGGGATGTGGTATCCATTGTTGTGCTAGTGAGTGATGCCATTGGGGTGGTGGTGGTAGTTATCGGGGATTGGGTTGTGGTTGGTCTGATGGTTGCATTGGCACTAGTTGAGGCAACTTGGCTGTTGGATGTAGTACTCATGGTAGTGAATAACTTAGTAGTAGAAGTAAGGATAGTACTAGTTGGAGTATTATTTGGCTTAGTTGTAGTGCTTGTTGGATTTGTCTGAGGCTTTAGCTCATGAGGTGGATGAGGATGGTGATGATGATGGTGCTTATGGGAGTGGACAGGTGGGCCATTTGGAGATGGAAATGTGCATCTGTGATGAGCTTTGGGTGAACACCTTTTTGGTTTATGTGGCTTCTTGTTCGCACAAGAAAGTGGATGTGACTGAGATTTAGAAGGATGAGAGGCATGAATATGTGATGGAAATGTTTCTGTGCCTTTTTGGAAAGGTTTCTTTTTCTTTTGTGGTCTTTCTTTCTTTGAGGTTTGAGCAGGTTTAGATTCTCTTTGTTTAGGTGAATTTAACCACTTTTTAGATTGTCTGCTTGCTAAGAAAGATGGCCTTTTTACTTTTTGGGTTGATTTAAGGTGCTTGTTCTCCTTTTTAAAAGACTTTGTACGATATGTGTTTTCATATGTGGGCCTTTTCTGTTGTTTGACTCTTGCCTTTTTAGACTTGGATGCTTGGTTTTTGGATGATTTCCTGGAAGTCTTTCTCAAAGCCATCTTTGTAGGTCCAGATAAATTAGGAGCTGCTCTCCTCACTCTTATACCTGCTATAGGATTTGGTACATCCATAGTCTGTTTTGACTGCTTTGTAGTTTGCCTCTTTTGATGGTTATTTGGGAAATTTAAAGTTTTACTTGCTTGCAGTGATGTACTTAGTCTTACTAGATTAGATAAGTAGGGCAACAACTCTTTCTCGGCAGTCAGTATACTTTTCTCAGGATTGGCTTGGAGATTTTGTAATAGCTGGCTAGGTTTTTCCTTTTTGTTTGATATCCTAAAATTTGGAGGTAACTTGCTGGCTTCTTTGTCAATCAGTTCAGAAAGAGATGAAATGCTATCAGGTAGATAATTTGAATTTTGAATTCTGAAGGGTGATGATGGATCCAATTGGAAGGAATGGGCTTGAGATTTCAAAATGGCTGGGCTTGGTGCTGATTGGGTAGGGGAGCTTTGGGCAAGTTGACTGTTGATCCCCTTTCTTCCTTCATGTTGCCATGATTTCTGACTTGCACTGAACTACAGACAGAAAGAATCAAAAGCTATTACCAAGTGAGTTAGTGAATCAATTATTATTTTTATATTTTCATTTTAGTTTTAAGAAGTCATTTGCTCTTTGGATTGAGTGGTATTTTGGTTTTGAGTGTATTTTAGTTCTGAATGAATTTCAGCATGAAAATGCAATAGAGAACGATGGTAGAAATAAGAACTACACATCACTACTTGTGCCTTCAACCTTCACAGAAAGTTCAACTAACAGCTAGCTATACATGAGCCAGAATATGTTCATGAAATTCCTCCAAACAAGCCTGAGACATTCAAGTGGTCCACAAAAATGAATAAGCTGAATTAGAAGGATTAGAATAATGGCCTCACTTGAACATGCTACCCCTGTCCTTCTCTCAAGGTGACCCAGATTTTTCTGGGTGCATTTTTCTTTTCCCTAGCATTTCTTATACTCCTTAGGAAGCCTGATTCAGGCTTACCTCATCGAAAATACTAGGTGTAATAGGATAGCTAAGCTGCTTTGAATAAAGTTGGAACAAGGAAATGAGAAAGAGCTCACAGTATCCAGCACACAGATGTTGGTAGCACTCTTTTTTTCCTGCCAGCTATGGCATCTAATAGATATGCAACTAAACGGTACACCTACGAGTCTGAATGAGTTGCTCTCAAAAGCACGGGAGGAATTTCAGCATGGTGTGAATCTCAGATCCTTTGACTCCAATTTCAGCCTTGAAGTGAAACCCAAGACTCCACCAATGCAAGCAGATAGCAGCATTCATGACTTTTAGAAAAGATAAAGTTTGAAATTAGGTCCAAAATTAGCAGAAGGGAATAGAAAAAATCAATACAAGAAGCATTTTCTTAAAAAAATAAAGTTAACACAATTTTTTCTACAGTAATAAAAAAATGACAGACTACTCCAGTAAAATGAAAAAAAAAGAGAGATATTACAATGGAAACCACAGAATACAGCTGTCAGACCATAGGAAAATATTATGAACAAGGATATAAATTTGATAACCTAAAGTAAATAAATACCTATACTCATAAATTATTCATAACACAATCTAAATATATCAATAATGAATAAGGAAATTTTGAATCAGTAATGAAACATCTTCATTAAAGAAAAGAACTGGCTGTGAATATTGTACTATTCTGATTCTGTAGGAAAACAAGACAGGATATACTTTCATCATATTAAGATCTTGCATGTATTGTCAGATCTAATTTTTTTAAACTAGTTTTATAAGTGCTAGTGATGATCCAGGTATGATTAATTATATTATGTGATCATTTCATGGTAGGATCACACAATGGATATGGTTCTAAGGTTACCTTTGATTTCAACCATGTTACTAAACATGATAACACAATCTGTTTAAAAACTTGAAATAATCGGTGCTAATTTGTAGTCTTATGAAAAGAATGTATAACTAAAATAAGGAAATTTTGTGATTACCAGTTACCATGAACATAATTGGAATATAATTCTTATTTTCTAGAAAAAATAGAAAGGCATAGAATCATATGTTTTCATTGCTGAAATTTGCTAAATCTTTCTTCACATAGTCCTCCAATAAACAACATAGAAACTATTTCAAAGCTTTTTTCTTAGGCTGGGATTAACTTGATACCTTAGCCAAACAAAGATATTAGAAGAAAATGTAATTATAGTCCAAAATTCTTGAGGAATACAAATAGAAATTCATCAGGTCAACAAAGTGAATTAACAATATATTTAAAGAACATTCACCCCGAACAAGTGAAATTTATCCTTGGGATGCAGATGGCTTAATATATGAACCAAGAAAAGGTCTCTTTAAAGAATGAAAGACAATAAACACATTATCATTTCATTAGATGTAGAATGTCATTAGATGAGAAAGTGAAAGGTACTTTCATGATATTAATATATGTGTACTTTGTTGGTATAGAAGGAATGTATTTCAACATGAAAAAGGGCTATGTATCATAGTACCACAGCTAACATACTCAACAGACAAAAACTGAAAGCCTTTACTCTAAAATCTGGAATAAGATAAGGATACCCCTGGTTGGCATTTCTATTAAACAGAATATGATAATTTCTTTCAACAATTGAGCAAGAGAAATAAATAAAAGGGGGATATCCAAATAGAAAAGGAAGAAAAAGATCAGTTTGCTAAGGACATAATTATATCAGGTATTTGAAAAAAGTCTAGACTTCTCAAAAAAATCTACTTTCATCTTATGTGACTATTTTACTTTTAAAAACCCAATGCCATGAACTCACTTTGAAGCCAGTATCAGTTCTGTAACTTTAGGTTTTAGATACTTCTAAATAGTTAGATAGTTTTAGATTGTTTTCAAGGTATGGAATCTTACCTGGAAACACAAGGCAAAGGCCAGGATGAGTCCACTTAGGTACAAAGCCTTCATCCTGTCCTTTGTACCTATAAGAAACAAGAAAATTTTTTTTAGGTGATTGATAATGAGATAGTGAGTTTAGCTCAACTGCCTCTTGGTTCATCTTCATTAACAACACCCTAACTCATCTGGGCCATTGCTTAACTCAGTAAAGACTTCAATGACCTATTATATGTTAGCCCCAGTACTGGGAGATACTAAGGTATGTAAAACAATACAATATTCTTAATCTTTCAGAGTCTTAATTCTTCTTATTACCCAACATGTTTTCTTAATTGATACATAATCAATCTATAATCCTTTTTAAAAATTTATTTTCTTAATCTACAAATGATTGCATACTGGGGGTTACAATTTAACATGTCCATTTATATGTATAGTACATCTCGATCATTTCCTCTCGCCACCTCCGCTTCCTCCACCAGTCACATTGAATTTCCCACTTCCTATGACACATAATCTTGCTTTGGATTAACATTATATTCATTGTTAATTTTTTATTGTGCTGGTACTGGGAGGAGCTCATACCCTTGCTTAGATTTTTGATCAAGATCTACATAGTAACATCCTTCTACTTCTTGATTTTTTTTTTTCTGGCCAATTGGGGATGAGTATTTTGGATTTAGTTGCCTGGGCTACCTTTGAAGCTCATATTCAGATCTCAGCTTCTTGTATAGCTAAGTTATAGGTGTGAGCCACAGATGCCTGGCAATCATAGCCAATTTTAAAACATATAAATCTGTGTTTAGTTAAAAATTTGTATTATCATGTAAAAATACCATATGGAATTCATTTCACTACTCCGATGGTTTTAAAAGTTATTCTTGGGGGTTTGATATATACGAGTGTAAAAAAAAAACTTCAATGTATGTTTCCCATTTTTACTATTAGAAGAGGTCCAGGCAATAATTGACAGACAAACTGAATTGTATAGTTAAGAACTAAAATTATTTAGTGTATGAATTCTGGTATTTTTATGGTCATTTTTCTTTTAATAGTTCTTTTCTATATGTAAGGTTTCATTGCTAAAATTTTCTCTTCTCTTTTCATAATAATTCTGTTGGTGTATATTTTCTTTCATCATTTAAGTAATAGTGTTCCCTTGAAAGCAAATATCTTCTAGAAACTGAGTTGTAAATAGAGAAATATCAATTTGCTAACATCTGTTTTTCCTCTCAATTTTTATTTGTTATGGTCTCTGTAGCTATATAGTTAAAAGCATTGTCACATTGCTTCATTAATTATAATCATTTTAATTTTCTACACAATTAGTTTCTACAAATTAGTTTTAGCTTGGGAGGGTAAGAATTTAATCTTTTCCGCAGGATATAAGACTATACTCAAGTCATCCTTTGCTAAATAATGTAATAAAATATTACATATGGACAACAATAGATATACAATATAACATGCAATAAAATATCATTGCAATATAAATGTAATTTCATTGTGATATTTCTGTACATGTATGCATTTCACTTTGAATAAATTAAAACCCTCTACCATATTCCCATTTCTCTCTTACCTGCTTCTCCTTTTTCAAACAACATTTGGTAATTTCAATATGAACATATGGTATATACACACATGTATGCATGATGTATAGAAAACACATGCATGTATATATAAATACATACGTACATACATGTATGCATGATATATCATTTTTGCATGGCTTGGCTTATTTTTCTTAATATGATAATCTCCAGTTACATTGACCTTTCTGCAAATAATCATGGAATGTTGCAAATCTATAAAATATGCTTTTGAAGGCACCCCCAAACTGATTTGTATAATGGTTAGACAAACTTAGTTCCCCACCTACATGATCAAATCTGAATAATTCTTGGGTATATAACTAAAAGAATAAAAGCATTCCCTAGATGTACCTGCACACTATGTATATTGAGACATTATTCATAATAGCCAAGTTGTGGAAATAACCTCATTGCCTATCAGGAAGAATGAAGAAAGTGTGATAGAAACACACAATGAAATCAGCCACAAAGAACCACCAAGAACAATTATGGCATTTCTAGGAAAGTGAAATGAACTAATGATCATCATTTTAAGCAAAATCATCTAGACTCAAGAAGACTAATACCATATGTTCTATCTATTTTTGTGTGTGTGCCAGTCCTTAGGCTCGAACTCAGGGCCTGGCCACTGTCCCTGAACTTTTGTGTTCAAGGTTAGTGCTCTATCTCTTGAGCCACAGCTCCACTTCCAGGTTTTTATGGTAGTTAATTGGAGTTAAGAGGCTGGTGGACTTTCTGCCCTTTCAAAGTGAGAGTGTCAGATCTGAGTCTCCTGAATAGCTAGGATTACAGGCATGAACCACCAATCTAATTTTTTTTGTGGGGGGGGTCGGGTCGTGGGGCCTGAACTCTGGGCCTGAGCATTGTCCCTCAGCTCTTCAGATCAAGGCTATCGCTCTACCACTTGAGCCACAACACCACTTCCGGCTTTTTTTCTTTTTTGCTTATGTGGTGCTGAGGAATCGAACCCAGGGCCTTATGCATGCAAGGCAAGCGCTCTACCACTGAGCCAGCTTCCCAGCCACAATCTAATTTTTTTTTTTAAGACTTAAGATTAGTTAGGTGTGGGTGGCTCTCATATATAATCACTCAGGGGGCCTGAGACCTGGAAGATCAAAGTTTGAAGCCAGTCTTGGCAGAAAAAGTTTGCATGACTCTATCTCCAATTAACCAGAAAAAACCTGAGCTGCTGTGATCACCAGTGCGTGAGGTCCTGGATTATGGTCCTGGTATCTGCATACATATACTCACTAAAAGACATAAAATTAAAAATAGGATCATTTGAGAGCAGGAAAGGGGATCATTAGGAATAGACTGAGTCCAGAGAAGGCAGCAGAGGGAGTGTGGATAAGACTGCAGCAGATTATATACCTGTATGAAAATGTCATCATGAAACCCATTATTTTGTATAATTATATATGCTGAAAACGAAGCATACAAATCTGATTACTGATAAGTCAAGGACAGTTCTTAGCATCTACAATGAAATTCTCATGTTTTTATTAAACACAAGTCCTTAAAATCTTTGTCTCCTTCATTGATTTTCGTCTTTTCCTCTGAGGCAGTGTCTGGGAAAACTGCAACTTCCAAATTTTTTGCCTCAGATTTTGTGGCTTCCTCTATTTGAAAGTATTGTTGTATAGTAAACCAAACGTTTCCAGAATCAAACTAATTCATATCCCTATACCTCTTCTTGATCAAGCAATTGGGAGCTAATCAAGGAGATTCTGAAGTGAGGATGACCTAGGAATTGTCACAATTGACAGCTACCTTAGTGAGATGTCTTCTCCTGATCTTGGACAAGAATTGCTTCTTATTGACTCCACCAGTAACTCCCAAACGAGGTGTCTGCAGATGTATAGAGAACTAAACGGAAGAATTTTCTGTTTTATAAGGCAACCCTGAATTCTCTAAGCCCCTCCTACTTCACCCTATTGGTTGTGATAGTGTTCTGGAGAAAAAGTTGCGCATGTGGATTATTTGTTTAATCCTGAGGCATTTACCTTTTTGGATTTTTCATGTTGGCACACTCTTGTTTACTTAAGTCAGAGCTTAAGATTTGATAACAGAATTAATAAATGAATACTGTAGCTTTTAATAGTTACTCATATTTACATTTTTTTCCACTTACTCATTTTATTTTTTATTTTATTTTTTTTCCACTTACTCATTTTAAGAAAATCAACAGTTCAATTTCTTATTGGTTGTTCTAGAATAATTTATATATTGCCTAATTTTTCAAAAGTTTTGGGCTTTGATGAAGCTACATTTTTGCAGTTAGTTTCAATATTCTAAAGTTTTATAGAATGAAAGAGATCAT